TAAATAAGTACACTGACCAAAGAACTGTAATTGTTAAAATTTTGTGATACTTGTGATGTTAATTATTTCTTTTTCTCCTCTCCATATTATACTCCTCTTCCATTTAGGGACAATTACAGAACTTTTTACAACAGAATTCTTTAAAAGGGGAAGTTACGGGGCACTGGTGGTGCAGTGTTTAGTGCGCGCGCCCCATGTATGGAGGCTGTGGTCTTCCAAGTGGGTGGCCCGGGTTTGAATCCGACCTGTGGCTTCTTTCCCGCATGTCATTCCCCACTCTCTCTCTCCCTGGTTTCCATCTCTATCCACCGTCCTATCCCTCCAATAAAGTCACAAAAAGCCCAAAAATAAATCTTTAGAAAAAAAAGGGAACATTTTACTTTGTAGAATCTGATTAACAGAATAAATGCAAAATTGGTCGTCTTATAAACCATATAATGAGCATATATTAAAAAATATCCCTATATGTGGATCAATATTTATTTCATAAAATTGCTTATGTGTCAGAACACATGGTACACCCAGGGTACACCCAAGTAGCTCATGTGTCTGCAAATAAACTTACATTTTCATTGCATGTCTTTAACTTGTAACAAAGTGAGTTCCAAACAGTTAGCATTATTTATTTTACGTAATTTAACTAAAAAATGGAAGAAAGAAGTTTTAAATGCATGCAAATGCCAATTTACATGAGCACATGTTTAAAAACCATTAAAGTCAGACATGTTTTTGCAAAGGTGAGGGGAAAAGTCACCCATCCTGCAAACTCTTTAAGTACAACGTTTGATTTTAAAAGTGACCTTTCCAGCTTGTACTGTAAACGCAGCACAAATTAGCCTGATACTTTTCATTAATTATACCTTCTCTGTGTGTGGTAAATTTAGTCAAGGAAAAAAGATCTTAGGCAGGACATGATCTCAAGTCCCACTTTCTTTTCAGAGCACCACTTACATTAAATAAAACAAAGAAAAGTACAGAAGTAGAACTTAGCATTTCACTGGAAAAGGAAATGTTGGTTTCTTGGTATATTTATTATTGATCAGCTTGCATGAAAATCTTTACAGCTCGGGGAAATAATTTAATAACTTCATGTCTGTATTTCTTTTCAAATATTAGATTCAACAGCTTCAGGATAATGAACAGAGGCATAATATACAATGAAATTTGACATTGAATTAAAACTTCATGGAAAGTTCATAAATATTGTGTAAAAGATATTCTTAGTAAGCTAATTATGTGTGAGCTTTATACATAATGAACTGACAACCTGCTAGATAACTGATACATGTACTCTATCAAAGGCTGGAGGTTATTACAACACATTTAAAACAGTTATCAGTTTTACACATGTCACCTGGAGCACTGAGCAAACAGTTTAACCAGGTTGAAGGCATTCCAGCAGAACGGATGACCATGGTGTTGTGTCACAGAGTATAAACCAAGTGCCTTCCTCTGGGATGAAAAATGAAGTAAATGCTAAAATACTCAAAACTGCAGTTCCTTTGACGGCTGGATCCCTAGTATTTTAAAAACTTGCATAGCAAGTGCTTAAATAGAAACATCAAATATGGCAAGAATCACAAGACATGCAAACAGATTCTCCCCAAATAAACTTGAGACTGCAATAGAGGAAGTTCAGTTTGTTTTTGTGTTTCTTCATTTTGACAGGGTGCCATTCATTCTTTGCTACTGACTGGAATGGTCCAGAGAAATATTCTTTAATTTCTTAACGAAGCACACAAATTTATGGTGTTGGTACTCTTGGTTACTTGGTGATCGTGCTGTACAGTGCAGACGAATCTTCTACTTTCTCCTGACATCTTAGTCTGTGAAATTCAAAAACTTTGATTAAAAAACAAAAAAGAACATCACAATGTAAAGAACCACATGCAAATGCCAAACTTTTTTTTTAAACACAGACTCACTCTGAAATGGCATTTGCACTCTTAACGTTGACCATAGTGTATTCCACATCATCCTCATCCTCATCTTCTTCCTCATCCTCGTCTTTTTCCTTCTTATTTGTGGTCTGGTTAGCTTAGCTTGCACAACGTTAGAGTAGAGAGGGTCTTCCTTGTTCTTTGAGAAGCCTACGCTGGCATAATAAAGATCTTCCTGCTCCTCATCTGGTTGTCCATGTGCTGATGCTGAAGCGTTTTCATAAACCAAATCCATATTAAGCTGAAGAGTAAACATTGCATCACAAAGGAAAGGGGGTTATGAGTACACTTGTTTTTGTCCCTACTAGTCATTGTACAGGTAGATACTATTTAAGAATATCTAATTCAATCTGTTGTAACAAAACTCTGGCATAGAAAAAACGATAAATGCCCAATCTTAACAGAGGGCTCAAGCCATATCTTACAATGTTGGGAAACAAAGTCACTGTCATAGCACAATAGGATCTGAACATTTAATATATATAATCAGGTTTGTGTTAGTCAAAAGAGCTGTCACTCATGATGTTATACTCCTTTTTATAGCATCAACTAACCGATTAAAACTGAATTTCTCAGAAAAATGACCAATCAGGCATAAATCAGTAAAACATTTGACGTGTATTTAGTTTTTATGGTTTTGCATGTCCCAACATTTAACATGAAAGAGGGAGACTTTATGAACTCTACTGCAGTCATGGGGGAGCTTTATATATTTTTGGTTTCACTTCTGGGGAGCTTTTATGTCATCCATCTTTTTATACAGTCTGTGGATCTGATTATTACATATGGCAAAATGGTATGACAAGGTAATTAAAGGTAACCCTATAATACAAAGAAGGTCGTTAAGTAGCATTGTTTGAATTGTAAATGGACAGTATGGTAGCTGAACTCTTCTTTACCTGTCCTTTGTTGTCTGCCCTCTTTCCAGTCTGGTTGGTTTCTTTTGAGGACATCTTTCTTCTGGATGCAAAAATGATTTTTAAAAAATATATAACCATATGTAGTTTTTAAAAACCTGACTGAATTCAAGCTCCGTTGCTGGATTACAAACCACACAAAATGAACAGCTCACCTTGTCAATAGGAAGATGGCAAGCAAAATGATAACCAGAAAAATAACAGTGAGCGATCCAACAGTTACTGAAGTCCTTGAATCTAGGAAGCAGAGATGAAATTCCATTTGGTAATCAGAGAATTACATGTTGTTTTAGACTTAGACTTAGAAAGCTTTCATTCTCCCATAGGGCAATTCAGTTCCACTCAGACCTATGCATACATTACAAACAAAGAACAAATAGAGAATGTCAGAGACAACAAACAAATCAGTGCTTTACAAAAATGAGCGCTAGCACGCTGACACCCCTCGAGTGGTCTCCTTTGGCAATGACACACACAAGGACCAGGCAATATGAAAAGCACAGTTTCAATTTTTAGGCTAGCTGTAACCTCAGACCACATTGGACTGTATATTAATCTGCAGAAGACTCTATGTTGTGAGTGGGCCCCTTGGCTTTCATCCAGGTAGGTTTAAATTACAGAAATAAATTATGTAGTGTCGCTTAGCAGGCATGTACTGTTATTGGCTCAATTAACTTAACTGGAAGGCCAAGATGATGTGGAAGTTTATTCATGTTGAAAAAACAAAACTCACCTGAAACAACAACCAAATGCAGTGTCGAGTTATGGCATCCTCTTTTGTTGTGAGCTTCACAGAAATAACTCCCACTGTGTTCAGAGCCAAAGTCGTTGATTGTGAAGATCCGTCCTGATGCTATTGGTGTGTTTCATCTATCTTGTACCAGGTGTATTTGGCTGCTGGGTTAGCATCACTGCTGCAGGTCAGGTTCACCATACTACCCTCCATTATTTCAAAGGATGGACTTGATGACACAGTGGGAAGCCTCGAGGGTCTAGAGAAGATGCAAAAGAATAAAACTATGAAGGCAAGGAAAAACTGTTGTTTGAAGTCTTCCCACGTGGGAACTTTGGAAGTTACAGTTGTTTGTGTAATCCAGACTGGTTTCATGAGGTTCAGGCGAACTTTGAATTTTTCTCTGCACAGAACTGGATATATCACTCATGCACTTGATTAATGTACTTTCTCTATGAAAGGATACCTTCCTAGTCAGCATGAACAGAAGGAATGATGTAAATTACAGTGACAACTTTGCAACTATATTAACTATATATCTACTTAAATACATGAAGTGTTGATGTGATTTGGTGATTTATTGTACTTACACTGAACATCTATAAGTAATCTTGAGGAGTTCCTCTGACCATACTTATTCTCAGACTTGCAGAAGTAGATCCCGCTGTCCTTAGACCTGATAGAGGTGAAAGAATAAATGCCTCCTTTTCCTTCAAATAGTGAGTTGCCCTCCTTGTACCAGGTATTAGTAGCTGCTGGGTTAGCATCACTTTTACAGGTCAGAGTCACTGAACTGCCCTCCATTATCTCGTCAAGGGAAATCACTGACACTGAGGGATGCTTTGGAGCATCTGGTTGGGGAAAAAAAGAACAATTCATGAGTCTTTGATAAGAGAATCATTTGTCAGAAAAGTCAGCCATGAGCTAGAAAGAATACTACTGTTTTTAACAATTGTAACAATGCCATCCAATGACATTGGGGCATTACATCTTTAAGCATACATCTCATACTAATAAAGTACTTTAGCCATATTTATAAAATTGGTAGCACTGTTACAGGATGCCCTGCCACATTACAAAATAATGTGTTAAACGTTGGTTCTGTTTTAGCTTTTGGCAACAAAAAATAGGCAAAATCTAATGTGTTCGATAAGGTATAGATGACATTTTTCACTCACGTTTTACATTAATGATGATGCGTCCAGATTCCCTTCTCCCCAGCTCATTCTCAGCTGCACAGTAATACTCTCCTGAGTCAGAGGATTGAATGGAACTGTAGACAAGCTGCAGCTCTTCACTGAAAGGCTGAAAGTCTGAATTTCCATTCTTCTTGTACCAGGTGTAATTAGCAGCTGGGTTAGCATCAGTGCTACAGGTCAGAGTAACAGAATAGTTCTCCATGATCTCACCAGGGGGATTTAGCAACACTGAGGTAACCTTTGGAGCATCTGGAGATGACATCAACATGCATTCCTTTATGATAAGAGCATCTCATCACACATTCATTTGAATGCCTTTTTGAGTCATATCTTTGTCACGGTGGCTGTACAGTGCTGACCATTGAGCTGGAGTTTTACTTCCTTTTATGTTTTGTAAATAATTCAGGTGCCAGGTGGCGCTGCTGATGTTAGCCTGGCAGACCAAGGAGGAGTCACTCCATACAAACATTATAAACCGCCAGCTCCATGATCTGTAAGCCTCAACTAAACAGACTGATAACACGGTATGAAGTTGACAACATGCTTCCCATATCAACTGTTCAATCTGTTGTCTTCAGAGACCTTATTAGTAAATGTACATGTTGAAAACCTCACTAAAACACTAAATAATGTGATCATTAAAATGAGGATTGAGGTGAAAAAGGGACGCTAAAGTAATTTTTCCATGTAGTTACTTTTATATGCAGATACTCAGTTAGTAACTTCTTGATAGTAACTGAAACTAGTCACTCATTTTCAGTAACCTGCCCATCACTGGTTTTGAATTTGCTAATATTAAGATTGACCGTACTGTAAATCAAGATGATGACTATCACTCTGTCTCAAATTACGACTCGGACACTGTAAACTTCTTTCTTTACACTGGTTCTTCATTTGGCCGTAGATTCACTTTTGTAAAGAATAAGAATGTAAGAATAAAATTTGAATCTACTCAATCACAGTGTTTTTTGTTTTTTTTTGATAACTTTAAATGTAATTTTGCTGTAGTGTAAGTGTGCAGATGAGTTTTTTGCCATGACAAAGTCAAGTTAACTTACACACTGAAGGAGAGGGAAATCCTTCATGTCCTTTTAAAGCACAGGAGATTTCGTCTTCAAGATGAAAAAAGTGGTTATAAGAAGATTTATCCTGCGAGATTATTTGCTCTCCATTCCTGAACCACCCATATGGAAGACGACTTGCTTCACTGCAGCTGCTGTGACACCTCAGATCTGCCTCAACGTAAAATTGGTGGGCTGCTATTCTAGTCACCTGTACCTGTAAAGCTAGATATACAGAATAAGAAACATTGCCATTATCAGTTTCCAAAAAAGAAGATACATTTAGCTACACATCACTGCAACAGCTACAGTTACATAAGTAAAACCTAGCATACCAAGGGCCTGTGTCCACAAAACATGTTTTTCTCATAGAAAAGTGCAGTGGAGTACAGGGATAAAGCAACTTATGTGGCACCTGGGTCTTTATTTCTATGACAACTGCCTATATTCTTAATAAACTAGAATGTCCTCTTTCCAGCCTATGTGTATGATGATGAACCGGAGGATGCTGCTCCTCATTCTTTGTATATAGGCATTCATAATGATGACTGACCTCTGTCACATCTTTATCTGACAGGTGTGTAGCAGCTGGTGCATGCATGACACAATCTGATAATTGTTCATTGAATTCCCTTGTCCAAGAGGTGTTGTTAGACTGAGATGTTTCAGGGTGATCTGCTCTCCAAAAATGATCCTTTATTTTCTTATTGTGATTATTTTTTGACGGACATATTGTACTTCTCTGTATACGCAGAGGCAAAACTAGCTTCTTCTCTAACTTCTTTAACCCTCCTCATGATTGGTTGTCTTAATAATGCAATGATGAGAACTACAGCTGGAAAAAAAAAAGGCACTCTGACATGCCACTTGAAAAAGGCAGCAACCTGTAAATATATTCAACACAATCGATTGTCTCCTGCATGTGGCCATATGTACAATGAATGGTTGCTAATCTTTGAGAACAATTTCTCAAAAAGACGTGGGCTAAAAGAAAAAATGCTTTGTGGACAGACAAAAGGCCTGACTGCATTCACTTAAATAACAGTTAGTACACAAACTGAAAGTAATTGACTAAAAAGCAACATTTCAGTTCTTTTTTTTTAAGTAAGGTCTTCATTGGTTTGTGTTCATATGTACCTGTGACAGTCAGATTTGTACCATGTACAGCACTCCCCCATCCACTTATTTCTGTTGTGAATTTGAAACGATACTGGGCTGAATCGCTTTCATTCAGCGCAGAGATCTTCAAAGTGGTGTGTCCCTTCCCATTGTGAAAGACCTGCAAGCGACCTGTATACCTGGGGTCTCTACTGAGGTCCTCAGGTCGCATATGATATCCCGAATGGTGACTCAGTCCAGGACTGAACCAGGATTTTGAAATGATCCTTCCATAACTGTTGTAAGTACAAGAAATGCCCACCGATGAGCCTTTGGAGGCACAGATGGCTCGGACAGCATACGTCACTTTGTTGCAGGTTTTACTTATTGCACCTGGAAATGTTGGTTACAATTAACAAATGTTGTAGCCACATTAAAAATACAAGTCGTTGTAGTTGTAAGCTAGTGTCAGATTGTAAGTAAACTCACACACAGGAGGAGAGGGGAAATCCTTAAATCCTTTCAAAGCACATGTATAGCTGTCTCCAGATACAAAGGGGCCTGAATAATAAAGGTATGAGACTTCTGGCATTTCCTGTCCATTTTTGTACCAGACATAGGAGTACTGATAAGGTAAAGTACAACTGCTGTGACACTTCATTTTACTTGTCATCTTCTGCACCTTGGGATCTGGATCTGTGGAGAATGAACAAGAAAGGTTATTTTAGCCTAATCTGTCAACAAACACATGCAAATAGATTAAAAAAAAACATTTCCATAGGGTTTTTTACATCATGAAATAATTCATTTACGAGTGAAAACATTACCTGTGACATGCAAGAAGACTCCAGGCTCATCAGTGTATCTTCCATTAGGTTGGTTTGATATTAACCTAAACTTGTACACAGCCGAATCGCTTTTTCTCAAGTTTGTGATTCTCAGAGTGCAGCGCGTCCCAATACATATGTGCATCACACGATCTGCATACTGTGAGTCTGTTGTCAAATCAACACATTCGTTATCCTGCTCTTTGGTAAACCAAAAGGATTTATCGACTGTAGACGGGCTATTTCTTGTGGATAGGTACATGCTTAGTTCCACTGTTGTTCCTTTCAAGGCACAGATTTTGGTCGGCCTGTAAGTCACTCTCATGTCATTCTGACTCTGAACCACTGTAACACAGAGCACACCAGGAAACACAACTAAAATAATAAAAACATCAGAAGACCGACTCATTTATTTTAGAAGTGCTAAAAACTCTTACCTCTCTCTCAGGTTACTGTTGTACACTAGAGTGTGGACAAATATGTTCAGCAGTCTTATCCTAACTAAAACTGAACATAACATTTAGAATAATGGATGTGTTTTATTTATCTTTATTTTGACCCAATTTCCAAATTCTTTGAAATTTTAACATGTTGAAACTTAAGTTAGCACCTAAATGCTGCAGAAAGGATGTTGCAGTTCTTTTAGCATAACAGGTTTTGTTTAAAGTCTATGGGCCAGACCCCTAAACTATGGATGACAAGTATAGTCATCAAATCACAAATGTGTATTTGACTTTGGTGTTTCTTGGAGCCAGCCTCAAGTGGACACTCGACACACTGCAGGATTTTACACTTCTGCATTGACTTCATTTTTCAACCTCAGAAGTTGCTGCTTAGTTTTAAAGAGCCCATATTCTGCCCTTTTTGGGGTTCGTATATTTAATCTATGTACCTACTTTTGTATATTCACAATAGCTAAAGTTAAAAAAAAGTGTCTGTTTTCATGTACTGCTCCTCCTTGCTCCCTCTCCACTCTGAGTCCGTCAGCTGCACTCTGCTGAGCCCACACTGTTAGACTCCACGTGGGCCAAGTCTGCTCTGATTGGTCTGCCGATCCGCTCTGTCGTTATTGGTCAGTTGCTCAGCACGCGTCTCGGAAATTTCAACATGAGCTGCAGGGCTTGCCACAACGAGCCAATGGGCTTAGATCAGTGACCTCACACTGACAAATTTTTATCGAGGGGGGCTAGAACCAACGTTACATGCAGCTAATGCTACAGCTAACAGGAGGACATAGGAGAAGCTGCGTTTCCGCGGACTTTGAATTTATGCACATAGATGTGCCTAAACATGCACAGGACACTTGGAAAACACACTAAAGGGCATATAAAACCAGAAAAAGCATAATATGGGACCTTTAACTAGTTTACACTATAATGATTTCCCTGCTGGAAAAACAACTGATGAGAGCCATGATGAGTTTAAGTCAAAACACCAAAATAATGAGCTGAAAGACAGTAAAATGCTCTGTATAGAGAGGTGCTGTGTCATCTGATAATTCCAAAGAAGTTTAGTACTGCAATCAAACATTTTTGACATTAGTCATTCATTTTTTACCAACAATATTAAAATATTAATTCAAACTACTTTAGCTTGTCTTATTTAGTTTAGAAATCATGTGAAAAATAATTCCTTGTGACATGGAGAACCTTATATAGACCCTATCTGTTTTATTAATAATGTATTTCCCACAATCATTTTATCGCAGAAAGAAACAGCCTCTGAATAAACTGATTTATTTATACACCAGCTACAGTTCCATTTAGAGGATTCCCGATAGATCAATCCATACATCATCCTAAAAAAAAAATCTGCATGAAATGTAACGTTCACAAGACTTAAAGTTTATAATACTGTTAAAGTGTCAGGAGATGTTGCTGCCTGAAAGTGTTCATGTAGAAGTACATTACCTTGTACAACGAGAAGGAAGACAACAAATCCACTCGCTGCAGCAGATAAACTCATAGCTGGTACTCCTGTCAGCAGATAACTGTGTTCTTTATTACTGTGTTTGAAAATAAGAGCCACACCAGTTTCCTTCCCCTTTATATGGACAGACAAATGACTGAAAATCCCCATACTGAAATGAAGAAATGATTCTTACTTTTATGAAAATGATGTGACAGCTTCTCTAAATATAGTTTATGTAACTATAAACGTGTGTGACTATGGCAGCTGTTGGAGGGCGTTGGTCGGGCCTGTGAATTCACTGTTATGAATTGAAGAAAATATTAAAAAGATCAAACCCGCACTGAGTCAGTTATGTTGTCCTCCTCAAATACTACTATTAGATACATATTGATCTAATAAAAAATAATTAAGACAATAGAAAATGTACTTGAATGAATTACCGTATAGGTCCGAATATAAGACGACCCTGATTATAAGACGACCCCCGTTTTTCAACACTCATGTTTAGAAAAAAAAAATTGCAGACCACATCTAGTTTTTATAAAGAACTTTTTTTAAAGAACAATATTAAAAACACATTGAATTAAACACCTGCTGCATTAATAATTATCGTAATAATTAACATACCGTATTTATCGGTATAGGCCTACGGCACTTTTCAAAACAAAGTGTTTCACAAGGGCGAACTATGTACAGTATGATTCAACATTAAAATCGATTAACAATCAAACAATATTATCAACATGTTTTTAACATTTTGAAATAACAGAGGAAATACAGGCAACATTTTTAACTAAACTACCGCCTATTTTCAAAACAAAGTTTTTCACAAGGTCAAAATCTGTACAGTATGATTCAAAATTAAAATCAAGCAATATTATCAACATTTTTAAATAACAGAGAAAATACAGGCCACATCTTTAACTAAACTAAAGCTTGCCAAACGTCTCCTCCAATGTCTCCTATTCCTCACCATAGTTCCTCACACACGTCCTCCGCCCCGCTGTGTTCTCTCCATAGACTGTAAATGTTCTCTCTCACTGTCATCACTCCCCTGCTCCTCCCAGAGCGCGTCGTGTGTTGACATTTAAAGGGACAGGCTCAGATCAGAGGATGAGGCTTTGGTGTCTGGAGAGGCAGCCATAAGGGAGACAGACAGACATAATTACACATGTAAGATGTTGGACAAGGAAGAGCTGAGAGAGATGGTGTGGTGCAGGGCGGCCGGGTGGTCCAGGTTTCCATTGGATAGGTTTAATTGGTCAGTTAATATGTATCAGGGGCACAGCAACAAAACAAGTCCAATATTGCAGAGCTGTGTCATATCCAAGAGGCCATTTACTAATGTATGCCAAAGGTAGACAAAGGTGTGGGTTATTCAAATGAGGACTCTTGATGGGCAAATGTTGAGTAGACCAGGTGTACCTCCTCCTTTTCAAAAACTATATTCCAGGTTTTTGCTACCTTTCCCTGAATGTAGACATGTGCTTGTTTGAGCCTCTAGCTTTTCATAAGATTTTTAAAACTTGAAGGCACTGAACGAGTCGAGGTTCCCACGACGCCTTTTGAATTGGCCAAAAAGTGGCACTCGAACACACCGCAAAGACTACAGCCCACGGCCAACCACCACGTGCGTTCTGTGCATGCGTGAAAGGCAATAACTCTCCATGCCAGCAGGCGGCAGTAGTCTGTTATCGTCAGTCCAAAAAAGGGAACCCAGAAGAGGAGGAGGAAGATAATAAACAGATAAATAAACCGTTGTTATGATATGAGACAACAATTTTCTCACTGCTGTTGCTCAACATTCGTAATATAGGTACTTCTTATCGAGAATAATGTCTCATTAAAAGTTGAAAATGGCACTGGCTTTGACAGCCCTTGGTCTTTTATTAGTGGAACAAGAATAGAAGAGGCGCTTCAATATTTCTCCTCGTGCACTGGCTCTCCTGTTTTGCTTAACTGAACAGTAAAATGACAAAACGGATAAATTAGCCCCAGACCTCAGAGGGTGTCTGTTGCCTAGTAACCAAGTTGAAAATGATGTAATACATTGCCAAAATTAACATATTTATTTGATCTTGGCACAAATAATCACCTCGTGATATTTTCAATAGCTTTAATGAATTCATTGACCCAGAGAATGTATATATTGACACCAAGATCGACCTTCTAAGTGGCTTGAAAGACATATTGGACTTTACATGGCCGCCATCTTGGAACCGCCATCTTGATGAAGCGGCTCCCCCCCCCAAAAAAATTGACCCTGATATGACAGTTTCAAATCTGGAATAATTGGTGGTTGTGAAGACACTACTACTGGTTCAGGCAGGTTTTATTGATTCACTGTTTTGTGAAAAATACAATACACTCTTTAATGTTGCATCTCTTCATATGATAAGAAAATAATTCTGGACTTTAAGGCAATTCACCAGAGGTGTTGAGACAACATGTTGTTGCAGGTTGTGTAAAGTGTTTCTGTTTTAGTTCAACACACAGTTCCAAGTAAATCCATCTGATGACAGACTCCAGTCAGCTCCATGCAGAAACCAGGAGTTCATTTGTGATGCTTCCAATATTGAATTCCATTTAGGAAAAGCACAACAAGAACTGCCGTCAATGTTGTGCTTTGCCTCTGGTCATTTCCTGTCAGCACCTGTGTGTCCAATCAGACTCAAAGCTGATCGTTGCTCTTACTGACATTGTTCCCTTTTTTCTAGATCCTTGCTTGTGTTGTACTTACTCTCTGATGTACGTCGCTTTGGATAAAAGCGTCTGCTAAGTGAATTGTAGAATTGTAGAATTTAAGCCA